GAAGTGTGTAGAACAGCGGGAGCATAATCCTTACTTGTAGTTACAAATGTAAGAGTTCAGTAAATCCGATTACTAATCCAAACCACATAGTCACTAAAATCGTGACAATATGTAGTCTACACCCAAATCCACACTTCTCACAAAGCAAAATTATGTTCATGGATGGATTTTTCCATGTTTCCACTACACTGTTCAACAGATCCTGATCCTAATTCATGTTAGAGATGTGCATGAAATATTCCTTCCCCACACAAGGATTCATCCATAATAATGACTGCTGTTGTTGATGTTCAGGAAAACGAGATACAGGCCAAGGCTATAATGTCAGTTTTGTCGGTGAGGTGGTATCTAGTTGGTGCAGTTCACCTTAAGGCACTGGGCAGTGACATTTGGAAGCTACCTCAATGAAAAAAATTGTGGTATAGGCCAAGGTCATAATCACAGTCTGTTTCAGCAGAAGGCCCTGGGCAAGCATGACCTGACTAATTACGAGGGAGCTCATTGAGAAGTTAAGCTGCATGCCAATGCCATTATCCCAGTCTCATCAGTTTTGATATAGAATAATCATATTATCAGAATAGTGTCCAGTATAACTTCTGGTGTGGTGTAGTGTAATGTATTTCATGGGTCAACTAGTATTTCTTTCAGAATACACAAAATTACAAGAGTCTATATAGTAATCTGTGTAACTTTTTTGAGAAACTTAGAAGAATGTATAAAACGGGGGAGAACATGGTGTAAGGCGTTCCTGAGCCTGTTTATCTTAACTTTAATTTGTTAGAATAATGGAATTTAACCAGAGTACTGATGTCTGTGACTTACACTTGATGATACCTGTAAATCTAGGACATACATACATACATATATATACATTTGCGTTTCAGATTATTCACAAATGTGCACAGGCACAGAATATAAAACATGTCAACAAGCCAACAAGACATTGGAAACTTGTACATTCACAAACAAAATCACTAGCATATATAAACCATACTTGTCAAAAAAACACATAAAAAAGTTAAAAGAAAATACAGATTGCAGCAAATACACATACAATAGTTAAAAAGCAATACAAATTGCAACAAGTACACATACAATAGTTAAAAAGCAATACAAATTGCAGCAAGAATATATAAGCACAGCCAAGGACATAGAGTTAAATGAAGTGTACACTGTCAGACACCTCTTGACAGGTCTTGACAGAAAAGCAGGAATTCCTCAACAGTATAAGAAGGGTTTTGAAGCAATACATCCTTTAGTTTCTCAATAAACTGTTTTTTATCATGTACCAACTCAATTAAAAAATCAGGCAAACTATTAAAAACTTTTACACTCATAAAATAGACCCCTTTTTGCCTCTTTGTTAGATGCGATTGAGGAACATGAAGGTTTCTAACTTGTCTTGTTGATTTACCATGAATTGTATGATTAAAAGTATAATGCCCCAGATTGTTTACCATTAGTATCATTAAAGATAAAATATATTGAGAAGCCAATGTCAAAATTTTTAATTTTTTAAAAACTGTTCTACATGATTCTCTGGGTTTCATTCCCAACATTATCCTGATGGCCCTTTTTTGTAAAAGAAAAATCTTCTTAGCCTCCCACGAGTTTCCCCAAAATACTATCCCATATCTCATAATTGAATGAAAGTACTTGTGGTAAATCATCCTTAGTGTTTCAATATTGCTATACAATTTCATGTTTCTTATTGCAAAGCATGCCTTGCCCAATCTGGACAGCATCGATTCAATCTGTGACTTCCAATTCAGGGTCTTATCAATTTCAATGCCAAAGAATTTAACGTGGGTTTCCTCATGCAATATCTCATCATTAAACTTTAAATGTATAGACATATTATCTCGATTAGTTGTATCAAATTTTACCACTTCAGTTTTCTTCAGATTTAGAGACAGGCCATTAACTGCAAACCAACGGCTTAAAGAATTTAACACTAAGTTAGACCTTACTTGGATTTCATCAATATCAATACCAGACACTACTATGCTTGTATCGTCTGCATACAACAATAACCTATCATCAGTATGACATTGCATGTATTGCATTATTCAGCTGAGTTAATACTTTGCATTAATTTTACACCTCATAAGTAGCTGTGTGTTACTATGAGAGCTGTGAACTTTGTGTCAAGTAAGAAGTCATCTTGCCTACCTTCTGTAATGCAGTTGGTAAGTAGACAGTGGTTGGATACACAAATGTAACACACACAAAACAGTCATTTGAATTTTCAAATCTCATACTTTTGCTGTGAGACACATAGAAACATTATTATGATAATTATGAAGTTATATTTGCTGGTTTTGGGGGCTGGCATCTAAAATGATTCACTGCTTTAACAGTTAGCACACCTATTTCTGTTAAGACATTAGCATGTTATAGTTGTGCTTGCCCAGATATCTTTATTTTGAAGTCTGAATTCACTACATTTGCAGTTGAGGTATGTGATTCTCCAGTGAATATTCATAGTTAAATTTTCTGTAAGATAATAAATTTACAGAAAGTGTACTAACAGGTTCATCCATAGATACCCACAAGAATGAGTTCCCACAGAGTCATGCGTATCGAAGCTTCCACGGCTTTGAAACACAAACTGTTGAACTGCATGCAAGAATTATATGTAAGGCGCTTTACAAAAAAATTGAATTTTTTAAAAACGTGGGAAGTGACATGAGTTATGTTTCTTTTGTATCACTAAGTACGTACCATTGAGAGTGACATAATAAATGTTGAAACATGCTGGGACAATGATGAATTGACTGTACTGTGGTAACAAACAATGCTGTGGATTGCAGTGGTGCAGAAGTCAACATAAAATGTGTTGTATATATACTATTATGTATTTTTAATATCTTATTGTATGCTGTAAACCAATGAGCCTCTTATGTTAATAAATGTAGCTCTTGTTTAAGCATCTGTTGTGTTAATTTAGGTTATCAATCAAGATGGCCCTTAAAATTAAATTTAATGAAACTTGCCTGTGGTAAAGTTGCACTTTGGTGTGCATAATGTAAGGGGATAGACCTGCATCAAGTTTTATGAAACTGTGCCAAAATACTCAAAAGGTACATCAGAAAGTTAATTTTGCCCCTTTATTAATGTGACCTTTAAAGTGATCCAGACTAAACCAAAATGAAACTGCTGTACTAAATTTAGTGTGGAATATCAGTTAAATATGTAGAGAGAGGCTGTGCCATAGCTCAGGCGGTTAGTCGCTGACTTCCCACCATGGTGGCCTAGGTTCTAGCTCAGGTATGGTTATATGGGATTTCAGGGGGATAAAATGACGATGGGTCTTGTTTTCTCCGAGTACTTCGGTTTCCCCTGCCCATCTTCATTCCACCAATTGCTCCACAGTCACCAGTATCTATCATCTGGTGCTGGTACAATAGGCTAGTAATGACCATAGGACCAAGTGGTCTTGGTCTCACCTCACTAAACAGGTACAGCTGTGTTACATACATAGAGCCTAATGGACCAATATGGGGAAAATAATGGGCACTTTTCAGCATTTTCCAACGTTAACCTAAATAGAACACATTAAAGAAGAAGCTATTCATCTCTCTGTCTTTTAGCACCGGCGCCATTGTTGTGCAGGCAAATAAACCTCTGGTGCCTTTAGGTGTATTTTGTTGAAGAAATCATTATGTTTACAGAGTCCAGAAAAGAAAAAAATATCAAGACACAGCCTGTCTTGTGGAAAAGAAAATGAATATTTATGTAACGGATATAAATATTTATCTCAGATATCTGATTTTTCTCAAGCCTGTTTTTTTGTATGTTGGGAACTTTACATGCCTCTTAAGCTTTGATGATGCTTTACTGCAAATACAAATTTCCTGCTGCAGTTACACAACAGATACCATGCTAGATATAAGCTGTCAGAATAGTCAAAAAATGATGGTACTGATAACTCATCAGAGAAAATGATTAAGAAACTGAAAAATATTGCTACACTTAGGTGATATTTTTCTGTCTTTATATGTCTACAAATAATCAATACCGATACAAAAGTCGGCCTTATAATATTAATCAGTAGACATCAGATGTGCATCAGATCTTCATTTGAAGATTTTTCTTTATTGCTAGTGGGGTGGGACCAAGTCCATTGTACTGCGGCTACTTCTGGCCTATTGTACCAGTTCATTTGAAGATATACATTAGAAGGGAAAGAGATAAAGTAGATTACATGCCAAAACAAAATTTTAAGCACAAAAGAATTGCTGCAATGTAGTTACAAGTGAAGGGACATACATATACTACGGAAAGTTTGAAGAGCAGTATGTAGACGAGAAGAGAGGAATCTACTAGAATATTCAAATTTATATTAATCATATATATCATGATGGTGATTTATATGCAATGCATCCACTGCCGAGGTAGTGCTGCTTCCTGTGTTACAACCTAATTAGCAAGATCACTCACGCGCTCATGGAGCTGATCCCTTCTTGAGAAGCTGCCAATTGTGTAGCTACTCAAGAACTTTCCAGCATTTTATGGAACCCAAAGGTTCATTACTGTGTTCACAAGAGCCCTCCACTGTTCCTTATCCTGAGCCAGATCAATCCAATCCATACCATCCCAACCTATCTCTCTAAAATTAATTTTAATATTGTCCACCCACCCACGTTATGGTCTTCCCAGTGGCCCCTTTTCTTCCGACTTTCCAACCAAATAACCTATATCGATTCCTCTTCTCCCCTTTGATGCTACATGCCCGGCCCATTTCATCCTCATTGACTTGACCATTCTAATTATATTTGGAGAAGAGTACAAGGAACGGAACGGAGTCAAACGTGTGTGTTTTATATGCAGACAGATTGTATTCCATTTGGCAATTCATGTTGAACCATATTCTAACTCTGGGCAACAATGATGCCAACTTGTCTTTATTGGGTGATCCGTGTCTCTCATTGCCCTCATTGCATAGCATCTAGGAACGATCCCCCTGATCTAGGAATCAGAGTTTTTCTGGGCTGCATGATATTAACATCACGTTATTACGTATTATTACGTAATGCCATATAAGTTTGAACAATATAGTGAAAAGCTGTAGCGTGTTTGAACAAATTACAGAGTTCATCAAGCATTTTCTTATGATAATTTAGAAATTGCATTATGTAGTTCGGAAGTTTGCGTTTGAGTTACGTAGTAAGACGCACAGATCGAAATAGGTAATACGCAAATGGCGGCTTGTTGGTGAGGTATATATTTATATTCTGATTTAAATTCGACATTCAAGTGTATTCGTAGAGAAGCATTGGTTGTAAGTGAATAACGTGTTCTGTATTAATATTACACTGAATTAATGACGTTAACTTTGAACATAGAGTGTAAAATTGCAGACTTGTGTTTTCGCAAGTGATAGATACTATTATACGCCAGTAGAACATAGACATAAAAATGTGGCACGAAGCCCGAAAACAAGAGCGAAAAATTCGTGGTATAATGGTGGATTACAAGAAGAGAGCAGAACGTAGGAGAGATTTCTATGAAAAGATTGTAAGTTTCAGTTTATTTTACTGTTTCTCTGCGCCAAGGGAGGGAGGGTGGAGTCGGAGGGTTGCCGTTTACTGTTAATGGGAGGGAGTAAACAAGAACGAAGTAGTAATTCTGGTCGCTCTGTATAAAATAGGTGTACTGGAAGTTTTGATGGAATGTTGGAAAATGGCAGTATGTCATTTTAGGCCAGTCCCCCATTTAGTGTGGGCAAGTTGAAAATTGATCAGCAGGCTGGAAATGTAACTCTGTAAATGTTTGTGACAGTTATGTTTGTAGGAACTGCACATAAGTAGCACCTGTGAGGTGAGTGGTCAATACCTGGGGACCAGTGATATGATCACCCAGCAGGCCTATGCACACATTAATTCAGAGCTGATACTATTGCCTCACATAATTTATTGATATTCTTCCACCTAAGTTTGCACGTAGTGCTGGTCCACTAATCTCCCTGCATGTAAAACATTCCTCATCTCTGAACAGAACTGTTGCAATGAACACAGCTGCTTTGTTCACACAGCCTTCAACAGAATGTGATGTGGACTCTGCAGCTGCAGCAACTCTTGCACTCATTGTACATGGTAGGATAGAGGTAGTTTCCATGACTTGTGATACAAATTTCTGATCTATTGTGATGTATTAAGCAACCTGTGAAGTGCTGATACCATATTCATTGTATGCAAAGGCTGAGATTTCTTTCATTGTATCTGTCCCTGAGGATGGCTCTGGCCAGGCACAGCACAACAGAAACTATAGTCTCTCATAACCAATCCATGTGTAAAAGTGTACTTGTATTATGTATGCATGTGTTTGGGTACCTCATTTCATACCACATCCCGCTTTCTTGGAATTCCTGTTAGCGTCTTCCAGAAGTAATTGCATGACACCCTTCTGTATGAATATAAGGTTTCTGAACTGCCATACTCACTTTGCTGCATATGATGGGTTCTGACATTTCCTTACCAGAACAGACAGTCTGTGCACTGTGCTGCAAGAAGTGGAACACAGACTACCTAATGATAACAAACGCTTCACAATGCACGTTCCTACCAGATGATGAAACGGTGTCAAGAGATTGTTCCAGATGTAGACATTATTCATACTTTGCTCTGATCTTGCTTGCATGTTGTATATCTTATGTCTTCAGAAGTGTGCCTGTCTTCAGAACTGCATGTCTCTGCAATGAAGGAATTCTTGGCAAAACTGCAAATGACATTTGGGCTCTAAATGTTATCTGCAATACACCCTTAGAAGGAACGTACTGCTGATTCTTGATTTACTCATTTGTTGTCATCTTTAGAGTGGGCACATAAATCAAACATGTTTTTTTTTGTAAGAAATTAAAGAAATTATTTGAGTTAGGGGGAACACTGCCTCAGTACTCATTCAGACTTCATTCCATCAATGTGTTTTATTTTAAACTATGCTTACAGTATTTTGCATATTTTTACTGATAAGGGCATTAAAAAGTCTATCTCAAATAATAAAAATAATTTTTAAATGAAGAGTTTTGTTGACACTGAGTTGACTGCTGTCTGAGTTGGCTTGCTGGTGGTATTGGATAGGAGGATGTTATTGGGGAAGGGTCTCAGCCAAGTAGGCAGTGGTCTTGGAGATGCAAGAGGTGAAGATACTTCCTCATTTATTGGCAGCCTTTCAAGATGCCTCAGGTAGAAGGTTGAGGTTCAGGTGGTTTAATGCTTTCCATTTTTGTAAAGAAGGAAAGTAATGATGTTAGAGTGGTTTTCGTTTTCTCCTCTTTTAACATTTCACTGTAATATTGTATGGGTGCTAANGCAAATTGCAGCCGCGGCGCGCACTTGATTGTACGCACTGTAGGAAGATATGTAATTCCAAATAAGGTGTGCATAAACTAAAAAATGGTGTTCATATGACAACTGCACCTTTCCAAAAACATGTAAATCAAAAAGTGGCTCTACTCGTTTTTGGAATAGCCTGCATAGCTGTCTTTGCTTAAACATGAAACTTTATTTTTCAGAATTAAATTTTGAACTGCACGTCACATATTTAGAGGTACAAGAGATCATTAAATTATAGTTATTATTAAAGCACCCATGTTGTGCCCATTTTATTAGATATTAAGTATGATTTTTGTAAGATTGGATACCTAAGTTAAACGCCAGATGGCTGGGCGTAAGGCGAAGAGACAGAACCGTGGTTGACACCTCGCATTCCTTGTTAGTCGATTTTGCTGTATTTAGAAAAGATTGTTTACGCATTAGTGGAATGACCCGGTCATGTTTTGCTTCGCGCTACAGGAAATGTCCAACAAGTTGTTGACGTTAGGGATTTTACGCAAGCAGCTTTTCCTGACATGAGAAAAGGTTAGTTTTGGAATTGGGGAAAAAGAAACAGAAGTTCCTAGCCATTTCTCAGAACAGACGGACTAAAGCAAAGTGTGTCTGTGGGAAGGAGTTGAGATGGTGCCATTGTTTGTCATTTTCATTGTGTTCAGCACAAGTGAGTACTTGCCCATGGTCGGGTCACTGATTGGTTGTTAGATTGCTAGAGATTCTGGTTCATTGGTGTTTTGAGAAAAAAATAAAAAGTGTTGGTTTGTGCCATTTAGAGTTAGTATATTATGGGTAGTTAAGTTGTAGGAAGTGAAAAACGGGCGTAGTCGAAGGTTGTGTGTGTGTGTGTTGATAGGTTGTTTGATGTAATAGTGTTTTTGTTTTATTATACATAAATTAATTGTTGTTGTTTTGAGTAATTGAGTTTTTGTAGGTCCCTTTATGCAAGCATGTTTTCCACCGTACAGGTTAAAAGATATCGATGGACATCCGATAGGGGTTGAGTAAGTGATTATCAAATTACTAAAAGTCTCTGGTTTTACATATATTTTCTTTCAGTTTACAACATGTTTCAGTCACATGAGCCAGCATCAGGCAATTTTTCTTTTGTTTTCAGGGAAACCACTGTACTGTTCACTTGTCCACAATGCTCCCATACACGTCACTGTTTAGTTTTCATCTCATGCCTAGAATGCTGTCATTTTATTCTTTTGTGGCTATCGTACTGCATGTATAATGTGTATTAGTATGATTAGTATAAATATCTTCATGGTTTTTGTTTTCATATATCAAATGTTACAATTGTGTGTGTCCTCTTTCTCTTGTATATGTGTTACTAGTGTGCTCTTCCTGTATACTGAACATAATGTAGTTGTTCCTGCTTATATATCCTTTCTAGGTAGTGTATCTAGTGCATGAACTTTGTGATAGGTAGCACTAGATACGCTACCTAGAAAGGATATATTCTATAAGCAGAAACAACTACACTATTTTTTTTTACTGCTAGTGAACTGAAGTCCCTTGTACTGTGGCCACTTCTGGCCTGTTGTACCAGCCCCAGATGATAGGTGAGGGTGATTGTGGAGCAGTTGGTAGAATCAAGATTGGCAGGGGAAACTGAAGTACTTGGAGAAAACCTGCCCCAGCGCCACTTTGTCCACCACAGATCCCACTTGACCAGACCCGGGATTGAATCTGGGCTGCTGCAGTGGGAAGTCAGTGACTAACCGCTTAGGCTATGGCGCAGCCAACAACTACACTGTATTTAGTATACAGGAAGACCTCACTAGTAAGACATATACAAGAGAAAGTGGACACACAGAATTGTAACATTTGATATATGAAAACAAAAACCATGAAGATATTTATACTAATCATACTAATACACATTATACATGCAGTACGATAGCCGCAAAAGAATAAAATGACAGCATTCTAGTCATGAGATGAAAACTAAACAGTGACATGCATGGGAGCACTGTGGACAAGTGAACAGTACAATGGTCTCCCTGAAAACAAAAGAAAAATTGCCTGATGATGGCTCATGTTCAGTTGAAACATGTTGTAAACTGAAAGAAAACGTATGTAAAACTAGAGACATTTTAGTAATTTGATAATCAGTTTTAATGTATGAGTTATACTTTTAGCGTCTTAATGACAGTTTAATGATTGTAACGATTTTAACAACACCATATAGTATTAAAGTTACATTTTTAGTGAGAAACATATTGTAACGTGTTTACGTTACGGAATACGCCGTAGAGATCGTTAACTGGTTTATTGAACAATCTACAACTATCGGCTACACTTAATTATCACACAGTTGCGGGGTTTCACACTTTATAACCCTAATCGCATTAATCTGTTAACACTGTTGCGGGGTTTCACGATTTATAACCCTATGCGCAAATCAGTTCACTCTGTCTTCAGTAGTCTACACGTTGACAGTAGGGGAGCTAGGTATCACTGTATCACACGCTCCCAATTACACAATTACACACACGTCCGGATCTTCTTTCCGCGACGGCTGCTATACTCCAACTTGTAGTCGGCTGGCTGTTACTTTATAACTCGGAATGTCTTCGGCGGTAGCCAAACTCGAACTCGAACTGATCGATACGCACTGTGCATCCACTTATATAGCTGCAGTGCTTGCCTGTGGCGTAATGAGTGCCACGTCACAGTAGGACGTTGATTACGGTTACGTTAGCGTTGCGCGTTACGTCACCGCGTGACGTCACCGCGGAGGGGAGTGGCGGGGAGCGCTACGTTACTGTGGAGAGGAGGGGGGAGGGGGGTTCTCAGTCGCGCAACATGTTACAATATTCTAGATGTCTTTTATATTTTAAAAATATATTGTTGCATTATTGATGGGTGCTTTAATAAGAAGGATAATTCCTCAGTGCAACTAGATGCTAAAATATAATATTAAATTATAGTGTTTATTTCAAAGTGATGTATTATCTTTGTAAAATAAGTGGCTTCCTTTCTGACTTCTGCCATTTCTCTTTGTTTTGTATGCAGTATCCTTCATTGAAGGAAACAGTCTTCTGGGAAGACTTCATTAATTTAGAAGAAAATATTCATCATTAATTTAGTGTAGCATTCATTTCTGATTCTTAAGAAGCTTCTCATGTTTGTGAAAGGTTTCCAGCTTGAAGGAGCCACGAAACATATTAATAAATTGAGAATTTGTATTTGACATACCAGGAAAGCATAAGCCTTTCATCTTGTTGTACTGGTGCTATGATTTTATGTAAGCCAAGTATGTTCATTGTATCATTGGTCTTTAAACATGCCTGTTTGTACTGTGGATTCCTTGTTTAGCTGTTGGACTGCAAGTATTTATGTCATCTTCTGGTGTTGTTTATGCCTTTTATGATGAAAGTTAGGTTTTGAGTCTCATTTCCAGCAGAATGGCAGAGAAATTCACCAGTTTAGACAGCTTCATATTCTGTAACTTCCCACATGTTGCTTCATGTTTCATGGCCAAGTAAGTAATAACCCTTACAAGTCCTTCATCTTCTGCTTGCAGTCTCAAGCACAAACCATCACACAGCACTTGTATTTAGTAAGTTTGCAACATAAGTGACAGGGAAATTCAAGCTTCTAAAACATCATTTGAAATAGGTATCCAGGTTATAGTGCTCCATACTCTCTTGCCAAGATGGTGTTTGTTATTTAAGTATAAGCACTCTAATGAAAGTCAGAAATGCTTGGTTTTCGAACTTGTCCATTGTCTGGTATTCTAGAAAACTTGAGAAACTGGGTCTGTTTCTGTCCTCAGGTGAGGGGGGAGACATGGTCTCTTGGGTCCCTTAGAAAGAGATAGTCTCAGTCACCGGGAAATAACAGGAAAAATGTACAGTAAAAGTTGTGATAAAGCATTCACACACCTGAAACTAACATGGAAATGGGGCTAAAAGTTTTTTAAGAATGTCGCATGATTGATGAAGTAAAAAAAACCCACTAATTCTGAGTGTTATACACCATCATCAGAACCCTTTAAAATCTACTCTGCTGAAGGTGAACCCCACTCACCAATGCTAACTCCATCATTGAACAGAAATGAGCAGGATGTTAATTTGAGTTTAATAGCTCTGCTCCAGCTGCCAGATGTGCAACTGACTTGGAACTACATGGTGCAAGAGTTGTGTCTTCTGGGATAGCCTGTTGAAAGTTGACATTTTGGAGGAACGTGTTGCCTCCATCTTCAGGGTGTAAAAATAAGACAAGCAGGAAGCAAGCATGAGAGCAAGTGGCAAGCAGAGCTCTTATGCCGATTTCTTGCTTAGCTAGTTCTTTGACCCTGGAGGTGACATATTCTCCCGAAACATTGGTTGACTTTCAGAAGACTACATAGTGTTATATCTCAGAAGATAGAACTCTTCATAACCTCCATGGTGTGAACCTCAAATCCTACATATATGGTGCAGATTTAGAAATGTTACATGTGCAAAGATAACAATATTGGGATAAAGAAAATTCTAGGTACCATGGCAACTGACACCTGCAATCTTTGCAGGTCTACAACAATAACTGATATTGATTGTGCAGTGTGTTGATTGTATTGCAGAAAGCAGATCCAACCCAGTTCCTGCAACTTCATGGACGACCAGTAAAAATTCATTTAGACCCAGCTGTAGCTCTTGCTGGAGACAGTCCTGCAAATATGTGAGTGTTAATAACTTGTTTGGTTTTGCTGAATTGCATAATCTTAACAGTGTCACAGAAGATAGTAATTGCTTGTTTATTGGCTGAGTTAAGAATTCTTGAAGTGTAAGTACTCAGGATGAATGTGTATGATCAAGAACCATTGATCAACTTTTGGTAGTGTTGTGTCTCAGTCTTCACATCGTTACAAGGAATAATGCAGCTCAGGAATACTTGTTTTCTGTAGAGGACAAGTAAGCAAAGAAAGAGAAATTTACAATGTCTTGGTTTAATTGTGTCAAATAAATGGTGTGATATTATTAATGCTGTTTCAGAATGAGGAAATTCTTAGGCAGGGTAGTGTTGTACTAGTAATGCCCTTAGTATTGTGGTGTATAGACCTGTTGCCAAATGGTGTCTGTAAACAGCAGCCATTCATAGGTAATGCCCACAACATGCATACAACAATAAAACAACAGGGTATATGCAGCCTGTTTCTAGGCACTGGATTGGTAAACATCCATACAATGGGGAAATGGTGTTTTCTATTTTGTTTCTTCAGAGTGGTTATAAGGAAGATGACTAGGGCAGTCCAGTTAGTTATCCCATGTGGAGGTGGATTCGAATACCTCCACCACAGCCCTGCAAGTTGTATGAGATGACAAAAAAGGAAGTCTTGAATCTGAGACAGTAAAACGTTGTCGTGAGTCTCATGGGACTTGGACCAGAGAATGACTGCATTGGAAAGGGCCAGCAGTAATTGTAAACGACAGACCCATTCTCTTGTCAGAGAGAGTGCCCTACATCAACAAACCTGCAAATGCCTGACAATAATAAAAATCTGGTCGTAAGCCCCAGGTGGGTTCTTTATTCCAAGACAGACTGGCCGACTGACCATTCGTTGCATTATAAAACTCAGACTCAGTCCAGTTAGTTGAGGATTGGCAGTTCACTGGAGTTCTGTATGGAAGAAAATAGTTGCAAGAGTGTGGCTATGGAAAGGAGACTTTGTATGTGATATTTGGAGTGTGTAATTCAGTGAGACTGTGTTAAATCTGTTACCAGGAAACAGCTGTACAGTGTAGTTCCAGGTGGTATATACAAGTGTTCGAGAAATCCAATATCTGGTCTATACCGTGTCTATAGTCACACCCCTAAATACTTGACAGTATTAAATGTCATATAGATTACTGCAGTTGTTCAAAAGTTGATAGGGTCTGTATGTTAGAATGAAATTAAGTAAGGCACAGTGGCTGCAAGTTCAGGTATATTCTCTACTCAATGACAGTATATGACCACCTGTTGCATATGCAAGTGCAGTTCAAATGTTCATCTTGAATTGCTTCCCTAAGAATCAATCTACAGTTACTACTCATTGCTTCTCTCTCTATCTCTCTCTCTTTTTATTGTTTAACATCCATTATATGTATACAGTGGCCGCCTTGTAGTGCACACAATTTCACCTGTCACTTCACAACATGTTTTGGCAACACAGTGCCATCATCAGGTGTCCCAACTACGTCAATCTATTGCATTGCCTGCCTTCATATGTTTTCACCAACCATTTAAAAAGTATTCAAAAAGTCCGTGTTTGTCAACTATGATAAATTTACACTCGCTAAAACTTGTTAAGATAATTCATCTTATTTGTCTTAATTAAAACTTGTATGTGGTTCGTTCACTACGGGGTCGTTTTTCTTATTTTCTGTGTTCATTGTATTTATTGTTTAATTGTAATCTAAACTTCAATCCAGTGGCTTCCTGTGATTATTTTATTCCAGTTTAATTTGTGCTTTTTATGTTGATCACCTTGTCCCCGACCTTTAGAATCACTATCTCACCTGTTACTAAGAATGTTCTTAACTTGCTGTTATAATAATTCAAATATGGGGGTCGTTCTCTCAACCATTCTTCCCGGCCCATGCACATAAATCATGGCTTAAGAATTTTTGTGAACCTATGAAAGGAAGAGAGAAAGACATTTTCTGGTGGAAAAGAATTGCAGTCTTCTTCACACTGCCCCTTTCAAGCCTGAATGTAAAAATACTGTAGTTTGATATAGTGTAGATTGTAGTGAGTACACAAGATGTTTCATGATTTTATATTGTTCAGGATGCCATGGCAGGGCCATCCGGATGTGCTGATTGACAGATTCGATGTACGAGCTCACTTGGACTACATTCGTGATAATTCCCCTCATACAGATTCGGCAACAAATGAGGAGCTTTCTCGAGAGGATCGATTGGTGAATTATGAGAGATACAGAATAATAGTCCAGAATGATTTCTTGGGAAGTAAGTATTTTATAATTAAGTCATTCATGGTCACATGTATCTCTGTATAGGTATGATGTCTGTCACGCTACAGGACAGGTTGTAGTTTGTTGGTTTCAAAGTTCTCACATTTCACATGGAACATATCATAAGAGACAGGTTCAGCCAACAGTTACCTCACTTTGATCAGATTGTCATGTCCATGATTTATTCTAACCGTCTTACAGTGCATACATTTATTCACCTTACTCTTCTCTCTTGCACTACATGTTTCAGCACAAAAGTGCCATCTTCAGGTGCTTTTCGTTGTACGTCAAACTACTTCATTGCATGCCCTGTTGTCTTTATACTAAAATATATACTCGTCATATATATTGATAAATTTTAAATATTAAAAATATTAAAACTGTTCAGGATTTGTCATCCTTATGTCGTATCTCAATACGCGAGTCACACCTATCTTCCTCTATC